ATCCGAGCAGATAGGATGTTGGAGGTGTGTCCGGTGAGGGACGACGCGCCCGCTGGAGCGTGTGTGGCACGGTCCGTCCCCATCAAAATTCGGCCCGGTGTGCCTCGTAACACCTTACGGGGTGTGGACACCCACACACACCCTGAGTTGACCAGGGGTGTCCCCAGTGTGACCGCCACTCACCTGCTGCCCTCAACACGCCCGCGTCCGCACCATCGTCCCCCCTGAGGGCAATGCAAGTGCGCGGTCGCAGCTGCCGACCCCATTCCAGCTATCATGTAACTTATTCGGACCCGCCCTTCGCGCTTCTCGTTTTTCGTACCAACCCAGCGCCGATCTCGGCCGTCATTCTCCGCTCGCGCCGGCCGCCCATGCGCTCGCGGGGCTCCCCGACGGGGCGGGCCTCGTGCTGATGGACCCAGCCGAGGTGCCCAACCAGTTGGAGTCGCGCCGACGCGCTGCGCGCGACCACCAGCCAGCTTTTCAGCGCGGTCGAGGACGGTGCGCCGAAAGAGTAGACAGTCTCCGGTCCATCCGGAATTTTGTCGTTTTAGTTAGCACTGCTGCTGCAGACAGGGCCCGCGTGACCCCATGCCCTTCCCGGATCCAGCTCGCTGAGGTGTGACGTCACCCCGCTGACCGCCCATAGGTGGCTGATCGAAGCGCCACTCATCGCCGCGTTCGCGCGCCTGGCTCTCAGAGGGCTCCTGCGGCTCTCGCTCGTCGCGTGACCGCCGCCGACATCATGTGCTCGGTCGTCCCCGCCGGCGCGGAGCTGCGCCACGTCGAATTCTTCGGTGGCTCGACCGCCGGCGCGCCCACCCTCGCCGTCCGACACGCCTCGGAGCTGTCGGTGCTAAGTACTTATCGAGCCGAGGGTCTCGCTGTGACGAATAGAGGGCGGGGGCGTGGTGCTTGGCACTACCCCGAACCGCCCTGCCCGCGAGAGCAACCGCCTACGCGCCGCTCGCGCCAGAGAGCGCGACGACGGCGTCTCACGTTGTGAGGCCTTGTGTTCTCCGCCGCACTGAGCGGGCGATGCGTCCTAAGTACGTATCGAGCCGAGGGTCTCGCCGCGACGAATAGAGGGCGGGGGCGTGGTGCTGGGCCCTATTCCAAACCGCCCTGCCCGCAAGAGCAACCGGCTATGCGCCGCTCGCGCCAGAGAGCGCGATACACGCGATGATGGGGTCGCCGTCCGACACGCCTCGGAGCTGTCGGTGCTAAGTACTTATCGAGCCGAGGGTCTCGCCGCGACGAATAGAGGGCGGGGGCGTGGTGCTTGGCACTACCCCGAACCGCCCTGCCCGCGAGAGCAACCGCCTACGCGCTGCTCGCGCCAGAGAGCGCGACGACGGCGTCTCACGTTGTGAGGCCTTGTGTTCTCCGCCGCACTGAGCGGGCGATGCGTCCTAAGTACGTATCGAGCCGAGGGTCTCGCCGCGACGAAAGGAGGGCGGGGGCGTGGTGCTCATCCCGGGCCCAACCGCCCTGCCCGCAAGAGCAACCGGCTCCGCGCCGCTCGCGCCAGAGAGCGCGACGACGGCGTCTCACGTTGTGAGGCCTTGTGTTCTCCGCCGCATGAGCGGGCGATGCGTCCTAAGTACGTATCGAGCCGAGGGTCTCGCCGCGACGAATAGAGGGCGGGGGCGTGGTGCTGGGCCCTATCCCAAACCGCCCTGCCCGCAAGAGCAACCGGCTCCGCGCCGCTCGCGCCAGAGAGCGCGATACACGCGATGATGGGGTCGCCGTCCGACACGCCTCGGAGCTGTCGGTGCTAAGTACTCATCGAGCCGAGGGCCTCGCCGCGACGAATAGAGGGCGGGGGCGTGGTGCTTGGCACTACCCCGAACCGCCCTGCCCGCGAGAGCAACCGCCTACGCGCCGCTCGCGCCAGAGAGCGCGACGACGGCGTCTCACGTTGTGAGGCCTTGTGTTCTCCGCCGCACTGAGCGGGCGATGCGTCCTAAGTACGTATCGAGCCGAGGGTCTCGCCGCGACGAATAGAGGGCGGGGGCGTGGTGCTGGGCCCTATCCCAAACCGCCCTGCCCGCAAGAGCAACCGGCTATGCGCCGCTCGCGCCAGAGAGCGCGATACACGCGATGATGGGGTCGCCGTCCGACACGCCTCGGAGCTGTCGGTGCTAAGTACTTATCGAGCCTAGGGTCTCGCCGCGACGAATAGAGGGCGGGGGCGTGGTGCTTGGCACTACCCCGAACCGCCCTGCCCGCGAGAGCAACCGCCTACGCGCCGCTCGCGCCAGAGAGCGCGACGACGGCGTCTCACGTTGTGAGGCCTTGTGTTCTCCGCCGCACTGAGCGGGCGATGCGTCCTAAGTACGTATCGAGCCGAGGGTCTCGCCGCGACGAATAGAGGGCGGGGGCGTGGTGCTGGGCCCTATCCCAAACCGCCCTGCCCGCAAGAGCAACCGGCTCCGCGCCGCTCGCGCCAGAGAGCGCGATACACGCGATGATGGGGTCGCCGTCCGACACGCCTCGGAGCTGTCGGTGCTAAGTACTTATCGAGCCGAGGGTCTTGCTGTGACGAATAGAGGGCGGGGGCGTGGTGCTTGGCACTACCCCGAACCGCCCTGCCCGCGAGAGCAACCGCCTACGCGCCGCTCGCGCCAGAGAGCGCGACGACGGCGTCTCACGTTGTGAGGCCTTGTGTTCTCCGCCGCACTGAGCGGGCGATGCGTCCTAAGTACGTATCGAGCCGAGGGTCTCGCCGCGACGAATAGAGGGCGGGGGCGTGGTGCTGGGCCCTATTCCAAACCGCCCTGCCCGCAAGAGCAACCGGCTATGCGCCGCTCGCGCCAGAGAGCGCGATACACGCGATGATGGGGTCGCCGTCCGACACGCCTCGGAGCTGTCGGTGCTAAGTACTTATCGAGCCGAGGGTCTCGCCGCGACGAATAGAGGGCGGGG